TAGGTAGATCTGCCGTGTATATTGTGTACAGTATGGGCCCAAGTACGCTGCCTTGTGGAACACCGGACAAGATTGGATAAGCTGAAGTGAATTGGTTTTGATATTTGMCCATGAATTTTCTATYTGTAAGGTAGGATTTAAGGATCAGGAAAAAAGGATATGGAAATATTTTCTTAAGTTTATAAAGTAGTCCGGTGTGCCAGACTTTGTCGAAAGCTTGCCTCATGTCCAGGAATACTGCGGAGCAGGGGAGAAACGATATAAATAAATTAATAAATATAATATTATTATATTATTATATATATATATATATATATATATATATGTACGTGTTATAGAAATATTATTGAAATTTTCTAATCATTATTGTCGTTTAATATCATAATCTTGTTGATATCTCAAACAAATCATTTCTTGAATAACATTCGATAAAATCGATAAGAAAATTTTCATTTTTGATAAACACCTAATGATTAGGAATGTATATCCACATAATCGGTAAATAGTATCCTGTCCAAGTCCATCCACGTACTCGTTATGCGATCGAGAATTAAGACAGTGACTGATGATGGTTGGATCGTTAATTAATCTCGCAGCTTCTTCCAAGGCCACGAAGGGCCACGATGCCGTTAATTTCGTCAGTATTGTATCGTGATTATGATGAGACGTGCTTCTGACGAATTAAATAATGGACATAACTATTCTTATGCTATGATAAAAGGTATATGAGGTATATAAAGTAAACATATTTGATTATTATTTCTATTATAATAAAAAAAAAAAAAAAAAAAAATAACAATGCTTCCTTGAACAAAAAAGAACATTTTGTGAACGTCAATGGTATACATTACTTTATTTTAATTAATTCGTTATTAGTAATCCATATAATGATCATACCATGCATATATATATATACTTACGTATATACGAGCGAATTTATAATTGCAATATCATTTGTAATAATTAGACACCATTTGAAATAAGATAGATGGAAAAGTACGTAAGAATAATGAATATAAATAAAGCATATAATAAATGCATATTTAATAGACTTTTAATGAATAATTAGTAGGCGATAATAGATATTGTCTATATTTTCAACTATAATACCGTAATAGTATGCGAATTTTAAGTATAATAATAATTTTCTCTTTCTCTCTCTCTCTTTCTGTCTGTCTCTCTCTCTCTCTCTCTCTCTCTCTCTCTCTCTCTCTCTCTCTCTCTCTCTCTCTNTCTCTCTCTCTCTCTCTCTCTCTCTCTCTCTCTCTCTCTCTCTCTCTCTCTCTCTCTCTATCTCTATCTCTATCTATCTTTCTTTTCATAGAAGAGTAATTAAAGAGAAAAAAAGGAAGAGTTTTAATGGAATTACAGGAAAGTTTTCTAATAAACTCTTGAAAAAAGGTATCCTGCTTTCGTGATTACCCTATTTAAAAACCTAGGTGACTTTATTACGATCCTCAGTAATAATCATACTATACAATAATCCACTCTTACCGTCGAAAAGGGAAATCTTTTGAAAATATTTTTAATCAACGACGTAAATCGATATTTTGATTAATAATGTAAAAAAGAAATGAAAAAATGTTAACAAATTAATAGTAAAAAATCGAATATCTTTTTTATTACGTTTATTATCGTATTTTATTGTTTTTCATTAAGTAAATAAATACAACGACGGTTAAAATTATCAGGATAATTAAATATCTCAAAGAGCGCACTATTTTTTTTCTTTTCCGCAGAATTATATCCTACAAAAGCGTATAATTAAACTCGCGTTATATTAGATAACAATAAGATATTTTGATGGTAAAAAAGACGTTGGCTCGTTTGCACGATTAACGTTGAAAATAATTTGCCTATTGTATTTAAATAGACGAAAAATAAGAGATAATAGGTTTAACGTTATTTTGAAAATTTACTCTTAAAGGTAATTAGTTCGATAATAAAAATAAGTAATCCAGTTAGATAACCGATAATTAATAATAAAAAACTAGGCGCTACGCTTTCGAGATCGATATTGCTATCGAATTCTATTTCGTCAATTAGATCAAAGTAACTTCCATTCATTGCGATTAATTTAGTCCAATATTTAATAATACCACTTTCCATTAGCTGTTGCATTTTGATATTAATTCTCTTCAAGCATGGAAATCCTCTCCAGGTAACGATTGCTACAGGATGAGTACCCATGTTTTCCATCAACACGTTGACGTTTTTTATCGAATGCAAATGATAATCGGATACGTTGAGCTTAACGATTAACGCCATACTCGTATTTTTTCCTTCGAACAGATCCGTACATTGTTGAATATAATCGTCGAAAGAAAATTCGTGAATTTTTTCTCGTATATTACGATTTATTTCTTTAGTTTCTTCATCGTCCTCCTCATCTTCCTTACTTTCGTCGAACAATTCGGCGTATCTGGTAATACCACCCAATTCTATTCCGGACGATATCAATTCCTTCATAGTTTCTATTTGAAGATTCGACGCGTTAATTAGTTGTTCCGACAACGAAGCTAGATAATATTGACTAATGAAGAAACCAAAAAGTGCCCAAGATAGGAACAATATGCGACTAGGAGTTTCTATCGGTTGACGTGACACCGAAATTCCGATGATTAACGCCGAAATATCGAGAAAAGATACGTTTTTAATGATGAAACATTTGACGAGTATACCTAATAATAGAACACCCAAGATTACTAACCATACGGTTGTTCCAAATGGCGCTATCAAACCGCGCAACGAAACGTTAGCTTTGTTTGACATCATCCAAACGAGCGGTATCATTTCGTAAGCAATCGTATAATCCTTATCTTCGTCGGGATTCCATAAATGACCACCTAGGAGCAAATCGATTCGTGAATCTGTACTATACATTATCGTTTTAAAATCATTGTCGATGCTCGTGTTACCCGTCAACGATATCATTTTTCTGATCACACGGCCGTTCATATTGGACAATATCTCTTTAACGATGATACCTTCCAATCCTAAGATATTTTCTTCATCCGTTTCGTTATTTACAAAAGAATAAAATGGATTGTCGTTGTAACCAACTACGAGCGAGCAACCGTTCATTTGAAAATCATCGCCGATATCACGTTCAATTTTCCAAATGTTACCTTGACACTTGCTTAGAACAATCGGCGGTGATGGAGTACACAATTCGTCAGGTTTAAAGGATCTAGTAGCAGCTAATAATACGGTATTATTTTTGGTATTTCCCAAAATCACAATTTTACTAACTTGTTCCAACCATAACAATTGTTGTATGTTATCGGCTTCCTCGAGAAAATTATCTTCCTCCTCGAAAATTTTCGATGATATTATTATAACGAAGTTGCATAACTCGTAAGCACAAACCTCGAGATAACGAGAACAATTTTGTCTTTCCAAATCATCCAAGTTTTCTATGACGACAATTACGGAGGATACTTCTCTCCTTGTATTGAGATGTTCGTTATTGTTCAACGTGTACGTCGCGATCTCGGCTTGAAAGATACGTACAAGTAAATCTGTATTAGCAAAATTATCTTCGAATGACGATAATGATGTGTTTGACATAAGAACGATAGTTGAATATCTCGAATGATTTCTCAGGTAACTCGTGATGCATGGTGTCCATTGTAAAGCTAAATTACTTTTGGTATATCGATGCATCGTGTCAGCAATGATCAAGGAACGATCACCCTTCTGTATTTTTTCTTCTTCTTCTTCTTCCTGCAACTTTTGTTCCAATTGTTCCAATTCGTACCAAAAGTCTGGTACCATAATGCTGGAAACTATTTGAAACAGCATTCCTATGATTGCTATTGAAAGTAGTAGCATTGTTGTCGTCGTCGTCGTCGTACTCGAGTGGCGAACTATGATAAAACTGAAACAATCTTTTTTCTTTGTTTCATGTTTTTTTTTTCTTTTTATTCTTTTTTATTCTTTTTTTTTCATTTTTTTTCCCAGAATGTATTATATTCAATGTTGTAATCGAAACTTCGCATCGCAGCAACGACCATCGATATCATGTTCGCGTTTCCTAAATAAATATTATTTCAACAGTCTCATACTCTCTCCTTCTCTCTCTCTCTCTCTCTCTCTCGAATGTTTGAGAGAAAGATCACGCGATTTAAATATATAGTATCAAGAATTGTAATATTACCCAGACGTATATCGTTTATTTTAATCTATTATTCGTATCATTATAAAAAAAAAAAACACTTTGAATTATTTTCTCAATTAATATACAATATATGTGATATCAATTTTTGCAAAAAAAAAACGACATTTCATGTTTTATTTCGAATGAATTTCATTACAAATTGACGTTTTTATTTTTTGATTTCAAAATAATAACCGTTAGACTTAAAAATGAAGAACTGTTTGCGTTTATTGAAACCGTAAAATGAACAATATCTATCTCGTGTCACTTTTACACCAACCCTAATGGTCCCTATGCTAATATTGTACAAACGAGCGTGGTACTTGAAAAAAAAAAAAAAGAAAAGAAAAAGCAATGCGCTTCGATCATGCGATCTTAGCATTAGAATAGCATGCAACAAATTGGTAACAGGTTCCGTGCATGGTGCAAACTCGTCATTGGAAAAGTATTACGACCATATTACAGTGTTTGCTTTTATTTCGAATACAGAAAATACACCTTGAATTTAATCAGAATTGATTTGATATATCGTGACGACCGAAAAGAAACATAAAGTAATTTCATTTTTTGTTTTGTTTCTTCAAAATGTAATTCATTCATATTATTCGTAATTAACGTTAAAAGAAATATTATCTTGTTATTGTTGTTGTTGTTTCAGGGCATTCGTAAGGATATTATGCGTATGTTGTCCAAGACGAATGAGAAGGAGATATCAGCCGGCATTTCGATGTAAACCTAGTCAGGTGAGTCGAGGAGATTCGTATATGGACAAACAAATTTATTCGCGAATAAGAAAACTAATAATTTAATTAATCTATGATATTACTTTTTCTTCTATTCCAGCTTTATATATATATAAAAAAAAGAAACTCTCATTTATCTACGTTTAGTATTTTTCTTTCCTCGACGATTGCAACGTTACAACGAGAAAATGGATGAATAAAGAAAAAAAAATAATATATAATAACCATAGAGATACTTGTCGTTTGAATTTTCATTCATTTCTAAATGGCGAAATATGCAGGTATAATATAAACGAAATCGATAGTTTGATGAAAGTTTTCTCATTCAGAAAATATCATCAAATTCCGCTTACGACGGGTGGGGAGGGGATGTTCGTCGAGTATTCGCTTTCAAAGTTATTTCAAGTTGTTCACTCGAGTTATTTTATCGTGTTCTTCTTCTATTAGCCTAATTAATTTACATCATCAACAGGTGAAGTTGATATTAAAAAGTTAAAAAATAAAAAGAAATCAATTATAAGTTATTTACCAGTGCTTATAATCTCTCTCGTAGGCATCGAATAAAACGCGAGTCTCGAAGTGAGGTGGGTTTCGTCCTAACTTGTTGGTTATTCCAATCCGAATGAATTTCGTTATCGTAAATTCCATTAGATATTCTAAATAATTCCTCCGACAATCTGTTGTTCGTCATATATTAATATTACAATTATGAAAAAAAAAATCCGAATTATATAATTATTCAATTATAATTAATTCATAATGTGAGATATTATTATTATATATATATATTAACGATTAATTCGAAAATAGAAACACAAAAGAAAAAAGAAAATATACACGTAAAACATTGAACGTGATGTTTTTTGATCGTAAAACGAAGTGATTCGAACAAATCTGATGAATCATAGAAGAAGAAAGGAAGAAAGAATGTCGAAGAAGGTGTTTGCTACAATCTAGCAAGTTTTGGTACAAGGTTTTTTTTTGGTACAGTTGGCAAGTGTAGCTTCCGTTTTTTTCAGAGATTCTCATCCGGAAGGTACTATTCTGCTTACTCGCTCCACCACATGCGAAGAAGCCGAGAGAATTCGGGTGAACAAACCTACATTTAACGACGGGATTATCGACGCGACACGATCGTCGAAAAATCGTCGTTATCCTCGAAGTACTACCTACGCCATTATATCAAAAGTCCTTTCCGTTCCAACCAAATACGACGGAATACATTATTATGGCGTCTACGGTGCACGGTTATTCATAATATAATGATTATTCGTCGAATAAAAATCGTCTAGTGTGTATTAATAGACCCGAACGGAGAATCTTCGAATCGACATTCATTTAAATATAAATAAAAAAAATACGCGCGGGGAATTAATAATATCACATCATAATATTATCACGGTAGTTTATCACATATCTCGATGTTACATATCGTTTTTTCACAATATATTATATATAGGTGAACAATAAAAATCTTGTATCGTTGCAATCGCTCTATTTTTGTTTTTTTTTTTTTTTTTTGGGGACGCTTAAGTGGTCGGAAAATTTTTGCAATCGTTTCATAAAAATAAGGATCCAAAAAGAAAAGAGAAAGAAAGCACTATAAAACATACGTGTGTGTATATATATACATATACATATATATATATATACATATATATGTATAGAGATATATTATCGTGTCGAAGTAAGTAAGTATGCGTCGGAGTATCTCGAAAAAAAAGAAAAAAGAAAAAAAAACGTTTGCTTTTTCAATGAAATATATAAATAAATAATCGATAAAACATTTTAATGGCACTACGATCACGAAACGATGATGCGTTTATTCGCATATATTATATCCGATTAAAAAATCCTACCCAAGTAAATGGTTTCTTAAGTGACCCCCCCTGACCAACCCCCCCCCCCTTTTATCACCCATGCCTTTTTCACCAGTTACCGAATCGCTCTGATGGAGGAGACTTGTCGCCAACCCTGTAGAAAACAAAGAACCTCGGTACGTTGATTTGTGAATGTAATAACAACCGTCCACACAAATTTTACACGCACACGACGCACACGCATATGCGCGCGCGCGCTAACGCGTATATGTATATGTTGTATACATATATTACATATATATATTTCTAGACATTATGCATATATTTTCTCTCCTACTTTCTCTCACTCTTTTCCACCTTTATTTTTATTCAAAGTTTAACGAAACACCACCTCTGTGTATACAATTTTTTTTTATTGCACTGGCACGTTGGTAAAATGAATTTGACTGTTGAAAAAAAAAATATATATATATATA